GGTTTTGCTTCCCATGTCACACTCCTCTGTGGATCACAGGTAGCTGAAGAAACACGGACACTCATTTCTTTCTCTTTCTTGTGTGTGTCTTGTGATTTTGCTCGTAACAATTGTATAAAACTAACCCTTTTATCCAAAATGCAAATCCATAGAGCCATGTAAATGACTTTTAGCGTAATAGTACATTATTCTGTTTTTCCTGGCTTTACACAACCCAATTTTCATGGAGTACTGTCTTGACAAACTTTGTGACTCTGTAAAACATGAAGAATACCTCCGTACCTATTAAACCTTGCAGGTGTATCTGATAGTCACGTCTGTATCCTGGTTGTTTAGCCGGTCCAGTGTGATCACTGAGCCACAGCAGCGTGAAGTGGCAGAGCATTTGTCTGTGGCCACGCCATGCTTGCATGACTCTCAGAGCCAAGGTTTCTGATGACTAGTTCCTCTTTCTACCTGTTTATAGCCACCTATGTGCACGCACACTATTTATTCAAGAGTTTCATAATTACACATTGTTCCACACAGAAAAGGAGTAATCAAGGGTTGTTCCTATGCAGAATTATGATTGTATTCATGATGTCTGTGAGGGAATTGGGCAGCAAACTTTAGATCTTGGCTCTGGGCTTCTGTAGAAACTGTAAATGGGTTGTGTATCAGCGTACTCTCCAGCACAGAAGGAGGACCTTCTTCAGAGGGCTTAGCAGCAAGTGACACAGCGGTGGCTGAAAGAGCTGGTGGCTCTCATCACCACAGAGTGTGATTTCACATAGCGGTGACAGCCCACGCCATCGCGTGATGGAGACGCTGGTGCTGCGGGGAGGGCCGTGCAAGGGGCTGGGCTGAGCTGCTGCTACCAGCAAGGCAGGTGCAACCCCGGCAGAGACCCTGGGCTCTGCGTCTTCCATCTTCGCATGCTTGGACTTACGTAGCCCTCTCCTGAGTCAGCCCAAGTCCTTGGAACGGGCTCTGCGCACTGGTGTGCCTCATGCTTGCCTCAAATTCAGCCTCAGCGTAATTAGAGTAACAGATTTGGTTTCCTTTTTCCTGGTCATCTATGCTCAGGTTTAAACATCTTTAAAAGGCAGAAGATTCGGCTGCAAAGGTTCTAGGCACACCATGGGTTATTATTTTGTGTGGGATTTTTCCTAGCCTGTGTTCCAAGGTCTGATTCAGCGGAGGTAGCAGAAGGAATCGCTCAGCCACTGCCTACCTCTGGGCTCAGTAATCCGCATATGGTTTACAAGATGCAAACCCTACGGTATTACACAGCCCCTTTGCAAAGCAACACCAGTCGTTTGTCTTCACTGTATAGAAAGTTTCCCACCGACTAGGAGGAGACCCTGACAAAAAGGCGGGTCTGTTTTGAATCCCGTAGGTTACCATTGAAGTGGTGGATGGCCCCGACACCGACACAGACAAGGAGCTGCAGAAAGAGAGCAGCAAGCCTAGCTGGCCAGTGCCATCGCCTGACTGGAGAAACTGGTGGCAGAGGTCCTCCACCTTGACTCGCATGAGCAGCGGTGACCAGGACTACAAGTATGACAGCACTACTGAGGACAGCAACTTCCTAAACCCTCTCGGTGGGTGGGATAGTCGTGCACCCGGTCACCGGGCATTTGAGTCCAAGGAGCAGCCAGAGTATGGTAAGCTTGCGTTCCAGGCCTCTTATGGGCATCTTGGGATTGTAAAAACGAGTTTGGAGGAAATGAGAATGGTGAGGCAGCGCTGACAGGAGGCCAAGCAAAATAGAATTTTTCAACATGTGGCTTTTGTTCATCAGCTTTTAAATACAAATCTGTGCAGATGCACAAGCAGTACTGTGGTAGCTGCATTCCACTAGTAAAAGTCTATAATCTTGAAAATCATACCAGTTATCCCATAAGAGGACCTTTTTTTAGTCCTGAGTGTACTTTTTTTAAAAGCAAGGGAAACAAGGTCTCATATTTATTTTTAGAGTAAGGAGAAGTACAAATTTAGAATCGTGCGGTGGTTTGGGAACCAAAATATAATTATTGGATAAATAAGCAGATCTAAAACGTGATAGTATTTGGTGGATACACAAATAAGATGAATTATGTTGGTGCATGTGTGGGGAGTGGCATATGCAGCAGGAACATTGTGTATTTGCGTGTGTAATTCCCTTCCAGATGTGTCATGGCGAAAACAATTGTTTTCAGCTTGTGGTATGAAACAGTTGCAGGAACTAGAAACAGAGAGGAGCTGCAGTCATTGCCTGCCCCAGCGGGCTGTAACTGTCCCCGTGGGAGTGAGTCGAGGGAGGTGAACCAATACCTGCGCACAGGTAGCTCAGAGCCTCTCAGATGTAAGTTGTACGTAAACACAGAAGATTTTTAGTTAGAGCAGGGTTTCAAAGCCACAGTACTTTTACCCTGGCACTTCTATTGCGTTCCTTGGATACTGCAGAGTGGCTGTCATGCACTGATTCAGTCTTATTTTTCCCCTGTTTTGGTTAACTTTAAGTCCTAGAGCCTTAGCAATTGAGAGTGCCTTTTTTTTGTGGAACAGCGTACTTAAACACATGCATATGTATTAAATTTTGTGGCCAGAAGATTAAAGTCTATCCCTTCATTTTGCACCTGCATTTATTTGTGGGCACACTTTATTGGCAAGAATTGATATATTAGGTAGTTATTCACCTAGGTAAAATAAAATTGCTTTCGCAAGTAATTGCGGTAGAATAAAAATAATAACAGTTACAAATATAAAAATAGGAAGAACAGGTTGAGCTCCAGCTGAAAAATCTAACGTGATATATTTAATAGTAGGTACTGTGTGCTTCACAGTGCAGTATAAACACTAGGTAGATAGGCCTAAAAATTGTCCTAGAGCTCTCTGCTGTACACCAGAGCACCCTACTAATTGGAGAAGAGTCCTGGCCTTCTGACTAACCTAAAATGTTGTGAGCCGTTGGCGTGGGCCAGGAGGATGCAGCAGCAGATCCTGCCTGTACGGGGCTTTTATGCTGGTTCCACCCATTGACCCGTTCCACCCGCTTCACGGCTCGATCTCCCTCGTCCTGCCCCTGCCAAAACGCGCCGCACGGCTCTGCCCTTCCCGGGCCTCCCAGGCTAGGCTCTCGGACAAGCGTTGCACCTGCTCACCCTCCCTCTTCCTGGCCAGCCATGAGGGGGGGAAAAAAATCAGAGCTGGGAAGGAGAACAGGGGCAGGGAGTGAGGGCCGTCACATTTTCCTGAGATGTCGTACACCTCTTCAGACTGTTGTAGTGCCCGCCTGTTGGCAAATCCAGAATCGCGAGTCTTTGCACATAGACCACATTCCCACCCACGTCACACCGTGGACACCTGATTCAAGTGTGGTGGCTTCCCAATCAGCGGCAGTGTAAGAAAAGGAAGAGAAGCACATAAGGTCCTTGCCACAAGGAGCTCACATCTAGGCAGCTTGCTACGGGTGAGATATATAACCTTCCCATACTCCTGGCAATAAATGTTTAATAGCACCCCACAGAGTTGTCATCAGTCATTACATATGGTACAAATCAAATTACGTGTTCTGCTAAGCAGCTCAGGAAGCCCACAGACAGCATGGCAGTGCGGGGGGGAGCGGGAATCGCGTGTAGCACAGAGGCAGGGATCTGTCCCTGTGTCTTGCCTGTACATATGTCTTCAGTCTATAGCTGCAGAGCAGGGCTGGCTCGGGATCACTGAACCTGATCATGCCGTGCTAGCGGTGCTGGTTTAACCCAAAGGAGCAAAGTTCTGATCACAGGGTCAGTTAAATATCTCCTGTAGGTTGCAGAGCAATCCGTTAAGCCAGACGTTCCCTAGCAAGAGACAACGCTCCGCCGGGGAGGCCAGTGGGCAGGCAAGAAAACGGGGATTGTTTCCTGGGCTCCGTTTGGTGGTCTTCACAAGGTGGGATGGGCAACAGCTAGCTAACTCGGCAACCAAAGGAGACTGGTTCTAAGGGGTTTAGGTACTTACGGTGGCACTGAGGCACGGTGGTGCAGACTTGGTGTCGTTTGCCCTTGGCGGTCTACTAGAGGAGAATCAAGTTGTGTTTCGTTTTCAGAAGGTTCCTGCTAGTAAAGAGTCAGATTTGATGTTATTTAATAATGCACATGAAACACTACAAATTGCATGTTGTTCCGGGTGCAAGATGCATATGTGGTTCTCTATATTCATAGCAGTATTCCTGTAATATGTTTCCTGTTTAAGGGACTGAAAAACAGAACTGCGATTTTTCACAGGTGACCCTCAGCCTCCCATGGGCCAACATTCACTATGTCCTAAAAATTAATTGAGTATTGATGTGCTATTGCTGTCTGTTTTGAAAAGATGAAAAAGAAAACTTAATTTGTCCTGTGCCAGATTAGTCTGTGGTCAGAAAACATATTCCTGTACACAGGGAAATTATGTGAATAGATGTGTATTGTTAGTTCATGACCCAGCTTTGTAGCTGAGGATTCTCAGCTGCCAAAAGGTCAAAAGAGAAAGGAAATATTTTTTCAAATAATGTTGCATGCATTTCCCTGAGGAGCATCAAGTGCGAAAACTGTTTAAACAGCAGGCTTGGGCCTGGCGTTTAGCCCAAGCTTCAGGTAGAGACATCTGGATTCCATTCTTGTTTTGCCTTCTTAATAAAAAACACTACACAGTAGTTTTGGGTAGTAGGAGTTTTGTTTCTTCATTTCCTTCCTCATCTTTGTTCTTACACAGATTATATTGACGGTGAGGGAGACTGGAGTCCGTGGTCCCTCTGTAGCGTCACCTGCGGGAGTGGCAATCAGAAGCGGACGAGGTCCTGCGGGTACGCCTGCACCGCCACCGAGTCGCGGACCTGCGACAGGCCCAACTGCCCAGGTGTGAGCGCGGTCCCGCGACCTGCTGTCAGAGGGGAGCGGGGAGAGGTGGGGGAGGCGGCGGCGGGGAGAGCCCTCCTCTACACAAAGGCCAGGGCCTGTTTCTTCCCCGGCTAGGTAAGCGTTTCGGTGGGAAGAGACACGCTGGTTTTCAAGGCCATTTACGAAATAGCAGGTTCTTTGCTAGTAATAATACACTGCTACATGCAGTCTTCTGTCCCCTGGAACTTAAAAGACAAATACAGGCTTTTTTTAGGCTACGGCAGTCATTTTTGTGCACGGTACGTTTTGTATTCCAAAGGGTGTAATCTACTCTCTTGAAACAAATTTGTATTAATTTTAGAATTTCAAAACGGCTGTGCTGACTGTTACCTCAGCGAGCTCGTATTTTGCTGTGCGGTGAATGGGCATGCCTGTGTGCTGAACAAATAGCTCCCCTCCAGTTATATGGCTTTTAAGTTTTGTGCTTAATGTATGTCGAGTTGCTTTAAGACTCCATGTGTATTAGTGCGAAAAAAAAACCTTTAAAATACCTGCTTTGCGTTTCACTCCAGAGATTTTGGGTTCATTGGGCATTAAGCTATAGAATTTCCTGTCCTAGAAAGCCAACGTTAAGTTGGAAATGTCGTCTCTGTTTCATTACGTGTTGCTTGATAATTGGAGAATGATAAAACAGGAATTTTGGTCCCGCAACAGCTGTGCACAATGGGATGAAGCAATGTATAGTTTTGGCTTGAATGCATTCAGAAAATACGGCCAAGGAGCCTTAGCTTAGCTCCTACCCGTCTACCGGCGTTGACGTTTAAATGCCGGCAACGGAGGTGGCCTTACCATCATGCGGTTTTCGCTTTGGTGAGAGCAGGGCTGAGCACTCAAACCTACAGCATAAAAATGTAAAGCTGCTATGGAAAAACTTTCCCATGATGTTCTTTAAATGCTGCTGTGTGTTTGGATTTAGGCAAGTTTGTAATGCAATGATGCAGGAGGTGCCACAATGCATGGGATATGTGCAATTTCATTACTTCCTAAGATGGGAGAGAAGTAAAAACACATGTTGTGGTGGTATGCATTTCACTGAGTTTACTTAATGACTCAGAAAGGCAGAAATTCTTAAACTGGAGGTCAGGTTTTTTTGATGGGAAGTGAAATGTCAGCAGTGCTGGAGAGAAGACGGAGGACCCTCAGTGAGAGAGTCGGAGAGAAGTTTCTCGTTCGCAGATAGATGTGTGCACCCACTGCAAGGTAATGGCTGCTAGGCAGTTCAGGAGAGAAATGTTTCCGGATGCTCTCATACATCCTAAGACCTCAATAATAAGGGGTTAATTCCAGAAGAAAGCATGTAGCCTCCAGTTATATTCTCCAGTATTTATTACCAGCTAGCATCAAACAGTGGCAAACTTGAAGGAATATATTAAGTCATATAACAGACCCCCAACGATCAGCAAGCAAAATATATTCACTCTTTGAGGCTGTGCTGACATTTTTAAAATTACAAGGGCAAAGCTCGGCTTCTGCTGTTTGTAATTCCAGCAGTGAATTACTGCCTTGTAATGGGTTCTTGGGTATCTATTATTCCGCATCTACTGCTGGAGTTAAGGCAAAACCCTATGATAATTTTATTGAAAAGCGGCCTGAGGCTGTTTTGAAGCTTTGCAAGCCACTATTATGCCCCAGTTCAGGAGATCAGGAGAAAGTTCATTGGCAAGAAGATGCATGGTGAACAGACTGCATTATTAACCATATAGTTATCACGTATTAGAGACCTTTCTGCTCTCTTTGGAGGTCTTTAACTCGATGGAGAGGAAAAAAACCACACCAAACCTGTTCAAATACTTCTTTGAAGAGACATTTGTTTTAAGGCTAGGTGGCACAGAAGCATTAGGGAAACATTAGACTGGTAGGTAGGCTGAACTAAAGCAGCAATGAAAGGATGTTTGCTTTGGCAAGATCAATTAAGACATTTTCTGGCACTCCGTGTTTCTCTCTACTGATAGCAAACACTTAACTGGAGATTGTTGGAAGAGCCTGATATTTTAAGATCCTGTTATTTGATTGCTATAGGTGGTGGGGGATGGGATCGATCGGAGATGATATTTGTCTCTTGCCTACTCACGCCTTTCACTCCCGAGCATTGGGAGAGAGCAACAAGCACCAGTCATCTTGTAATAGCATCATTCTTCCTCGTGCTTCCTGAAAAATGGTTGCCCACATACGGACATGAACTTATTTGCCCATCTTCAGGCGTGTCGCTCTGTTTCAGAAAGTGGCACAAAGGCTGTCTCCTTTAGACGTCACATTTTACCCAGGGCTGTAGAGCTTCCACTGGGACACTTGTTTTTATCTTGTCAGTCCCTTGTGATACATGCTCTGGAGAAGACGTTGGTCACATAAAGCTGACCAGGTGGCTGTTGGTGAAGTGTCCGCAAAACTCCTGCCTCAAATACTGGCAGATGCTGGCACGCCTTGCATCAGGAGGAGGAGGAGGAACAAACTTGGTTTCCTCGCTGCTGTCCCTGCACTGGGTTCATAAAACTGACCAGTTTGTTGCTTAAATATAATCTAAGCTCTAAAACTTGAAAACTTGTGACCTTTGGGCTAAGCTAATTCTTTATCTTCCTAACACCCCGGATTCCTTGGTCATTAGACTTTTAAAGGAACGCTCCCTCCAGCAGCACCTCGGATTACTTCCCTGCCCAACAAAAGGACCTTGCCGAACTGGGGAAGGAGGGGATGACAGGGCGGCAGTTGATTGCATTGTGTGTTAATGGGAAAACACCACCACCACTAACACGTGTTTGTCTTAGGGATCGAGGATACCTTCCGGACAGCTGCCACAGAAGTCAGCTTACTGGCAGGAAGTGAAGACTTCAACGCTACCAAACTGTTTGAAGTTGGTAAGCAGCCTAGTCAATCTTTCAGTAATAGATAAGAGACTTCCTTAGATTTTCCTGTTTGGCATCTCACTGCGGGACCAAGATTTTGAGTTTACCATTAAAAATGTCAGTAATACTGACCATCTACTTATCTTGCTTAAGTTTATGCTCTGAACCCTAGCTTGCTCCTGTCATAGAATCTTTCCTCTCTTAAGTCTTAGCAAGTTTCTGTGCTTCTTTCACTGTAAAATGGTGCTTCTCTGTCCTAGTTCAGAAAAGAGCTGTAAGGCTCCACACTAATGGAGGGGGAAAAAAATCAAACACCATTTAACATTTTGCTGAAATAGCCTCGAACGGAAGATACTATAAAAGCATTTTACGTACAGCTATCACATAAAAAAAAAAAACAGGCAATGACATTTATGAGTATGCATAGCTTTTATAACTGTGTGTGCTGCAGTGGAGCTAGCCACAGCAATTTTATAGGGCATGACTTGATACTAATTTATCTAAAACTCAGTCCAACCTCTATAATGTTCTGACTTCATCCTTCCAATGAAACCATAGTGTGGTCACTCTTGGACACTGGCTGGTGGACTAATTGGATAAATAATGTAATCCAGCACCCCTCTCCTATGGTGGTAGAGCACGATAGTTAATGACAGCCGGGATAGGAGTCTTTAAGGAGATAGAAAAACAGGACACAGATCACTAAGTAAATATTTTGCAAGAATGTTTGCTCTGAGAGTTTTGGGTCCCAGTCTTTGCCTTACTCCAGAGTCTTGTTAAGTAAATGTGGAGCAAGATGTGCAGGGGTTTTTTTGAAAGCCCATAGCATGATACAGACACCTTAAATGATGTTTTAGGTCGGAGACGTTTAACTGGCTTGTCCCAAGACTCTTGCAAAATAATAAAGTGCCAGTATTAAGTATGCTGCTAGTCTATAAATCTCTTTAATCCCAGCTATAAGTCATGGCTTTGGTGCCATTAAATCCTCCTCACGTACAGACACTCTGATATCATGTCACATATGCCCTTTCGGAATCTGAATGACTTTTGGCTGCATTTGCCAGCTAAGATGTCAGTCTCCACATTTGAACTACAGCTGCTTGAAATACCCCTTTGGGAAGACGGAGACCAAGTAGGAAAAAGTATTTGTTAGTTAAAAGAAAGTCTGAATTAGGGCTTAATATTGAACTTCAGAAAAAGTAATCCAGGCCTTGCTTGCCATCTTGGTATTTCTAGCCTCATGAGAAACTTCATCCTTCAGCAGCTGAATCTGCTGTTCTTACAAGGCGAGTGTGTGGACTAGGGGTTCGAACTGGGGACTGCCTCAAATGAAATCACTGTGATTTCCCTGCTTCAGTTCTGTCGCCTGCAAACCCACGACGGTGTCTCTTGCTCTGCGTAGGGATATCTGCAGCTTAATTAGAATTTGCCAGGTAGAAGAAACGTCAAAGACTCTTACTGGCGTGGTGCTGCACTATAATTGAGACTAGTGTTGCCTGAGGCCCTCAAGCCAGTCACACATGTGATTTCTTTATCTGACAAGACAGCACATTAACACATTGCAGGCAGGGAGGCAAGCTTTGACTGCCCTTTCTTTCTTAAGTAAAGCGCTGGTGCTGAACAGTTAGGCTTTACTCACTTGTTATCACTGATCACGCGAACTGGGATGCTGCATAATGTATCTTAAGTTTCCATTTCCTGCCCTTAAACAGATACTGATAGCTGTGAAAGATGGATGAGCTGCAAAAGTGAGTTCTTGAAGAAATATATGCACAAAGTGGTCAATGATCTTCCCAGCTGCCCATGCTCCTACCCCAGAGAAGTAGCATACAGCACTGCTGAAATCTATGATCGAATTAAGAGGAAAAACTTCCGCTGGAAAGATGCAAGCGGTCCAAAGGAAAAACTGGAGATCTATAAGCCCACTGCACGGTACTGCATCCGCTCCATGCTCTCTTTGGAAAGCACAACGCTTGCAGCACAGCACTGCTGCTATGATGATAACATGCAGCTGATTACCAGAGGGAAAGGGGCGGGTACGCCAAACCTGATCAGCATCGAATTCTCAGCAGAACTCCATTACAAAGTGGACATTCTGCCTTGGATTATATGCAAAGGTGACTGGAGCCGATACAATGAAGCGCGGCCTCCAAACAATGGGCAGAAGTGTACAGAAAACCCTTCAGACGAAGACTACTACAAGCAATTTCAAGAAGCAAGGGAATACTGAGAAGATTTTTCCTCCTCTTCAGACACAAAATAGCATTTGTTTCCTGGATGCCAAAGAACTGATACCAGCTGCTGCATTGTCTCCTTGACAGGGGTTGACCAGTTTCTTTCTAATGAATGTATATAGTTGTAATATAATACATAAGTATTTTTCATAGTGTGTGTAATTTATAAACACATATCTCTCTATCTCACACACCTATTTTTACAGACAAACATAAAACTTGTCCTGGTAGGATTTTATACTGCAATAACGTTCATTTAATAATGTGCATTTCATTTTATTCCCCAGCTGTAATGTAAGGCAGGGACACACACACACACACAGAGCTGCCATCACCATCAGGCCCCAAGGCCCCAGCTGAGCAGGGCACATATTTAAAAGTTGTTATAAACAATAGGATTGAAGAATGTACTCTTCCATATGGGAATCGTTTACAAGATTAATGCACCTACAGCATCAGTTTTCTCTATAATTGATGTCATGACTAGTCATATCTAAGGGTAATACTCAAAAGTGAATACAGACAGTTACTAGCCATTTTTTCTTGGAATTCTTCCTGTTACCTTCTAGCTCAGGTCTTTGCAGCCCACCTGGGGTAGGCTTGCAGGGAGACGTAGCTGCGGTTTTCCTACGGACCAGAAAAAGTCCCGATGCAGTGGTTCTGCAAGAGTTACAAACAGCCCGCTCCTGGAGATGCCTCAGATATGGAGCTACCGCTGCCAAGGCTTAGGTCTTATGCTGGGGAGCAGATCTTCAGGACAGCTACCTGTAAACTAAGTATGCCGTAAGTCTTTGGAGGAGTGAGGCCAGAGAAGGAAACCATGTCAAAGGAAAAAAAATAAAATCACAGTTACTTCCCATTTTTTAATATGAAGACTGTTTAGGTCTGCTTGTTTCTTTCTTTAAGTAAAGAAAGACAGACGTTTATTTTTTTAAAGAACAGAAAAACTGGAATACACATTTCTAAGTTCCCTGAGATAACGCATGCAACCAGCCCTTTTCCCCCCTTACCATATGCTGAGTGCAGAGTGTCCTACAGAAGAAGCCATTCTTTAAGGAAGCTGTCTGGGAGGAGCTATTGGTCGGTTAAAATGTCTTAATTTTTTTAAAAAGCTAGCATTATTTTTGTAAAGTATTTATTGAATCGTAACAATAACTCACATGTGGGATATGTCTCTAACATGAAAGGCTTCTGTAGATGGAACTTGATTGCCAAGAATAAGACTGTTGTTAGGCAAAGGTTTTACTGCCAAATTTTTATGAAGTGCAAGTTTACATACATACTCCTGTAATTAAGCAGCTGATACCGGCATTCTTATGAAAGATAAAAATTACACCATGGGTAAATAAATACTTACAGTTCCATCCTGTAAAAGGCTGTCTTGCTGCAAGTCAGTGTCTTCATTTGGAAAACTAAGGCTAAATGTTCCTCGGGAAATACCTGGGTTTGGGTTGTGTGGTCTGACACACGCGTGTGCACTCCACATTGACCCTCACGCAGCGGTAAAGCCGATCTTGCATTGCAGTCAGTCTTAGCTGAAAGAGTCAAGACAGCCATGAAAGACAATTACTTCTGCTATACACACACACACGTCTGTACTGTAAATCTTTTCTCTAGCTCCGTTGTCCTTTCAGGTGCTGGTTGATCGTGACTTCCCGCACAGACATGTGCACGGCCCCCCCAGCATTAACGTTTGCATAGTGAGTCCACCGAGTCTGGGAAGTCTCCGGCTTGTGTTGGTCTGCCCAGGTGGTGGAAATCAGGGGATTAAAAGCAGCAGCCTGGGCCTTGGACACCCACTCTGACCAAACGCGTGGTGCAGAGCCTGCGAAGGCTCTCCCCACATCTGCCAGACCTACTCTGACAGGCTGCAGAGCCTCAGCACCGTACTTACGCTCCGGGTTTCCAGAAACGGAGCCGTCCAGGCAAAGCTACTGCACATATGCAGCAGCAACGGATCTACTGAGGTAACTTCAGCAGCTGGAAATCTTGGCCAAGTCATCCAATCTTCCCAGATGCAGGCTTGAGTCGGCGGTGGGGGGAGAGACGTGGATATATTCTAGCGCTAGCTGGTAGTAACAAAACATGGTTAGTTGAGCAAGAGGGTAAACATGGGGATCGCCCCTTAATTTTTATAGAAACCAGGTTTTGTAAATTCTTGGAAGGTCGTAAGAAGGAGCCACGAGCTAGCGGAGCCAGCTAAATTGACAGCAGATGGATGAAAGGCATGAACAACTCCAGGATCAGTCACTTCAGAGGGAAGACAGGTATTTTCTGCAACATGGGGGAGAGAGCTCTGCTTTTTGCTTCACTTACTTAGTGGTGTGGGGGGAACAACAGTTGGGTTTCTCTGGGAGGGCTATGAGAGGGCGGTCACAATTCTTGAAATATAAAACATATCCCTGCAGTTTATGGATTAGTAAATTATGGTGCTATTGAGAAATGCTACTACGCCATTAATACTGAACATAATAAAGCGTTGGGGAAGAGGAAAAATTATTCTAATAAATGACGCACAAAATTTCGAGTGTTACCACTCATAATTTGCCAAGGCTAGAAACTCTGAGGGAGCCTAATAACCACGGATAAGGCCTACCAGGTCTTTCACAGGATGAGTCCTGGAGCACAGATCAAGAGAGTACTTGTGCTTCTGCAGTCTTAAGCAATGGACTGTCTTTATTAAAAACAAAGTCAGTCCTATTTCATAATAAATTATGATCCATTCTGGGCTGGGCTGCTTTTTTTTTCTCTTCTGTTTTGTTTATCTCCTTTCCAGTTACTGAAATTGTACCTGGAACGACCTTAGCAAGGTGCTGGAGTTTACCATGGCCAAATGTGGCTCAGCCTCTTAAATCCAGAGCTCTTCATATAAGAGTAAGACCTGAGGAAGGGTTTGTGGTCTTACGGGCCCAGGCACAGGTCAGAAGTTAGAAGAAGCTGTTGTTTCTAAGTTACCACAGAAGGAGCGTAGCGGAAGACCCAACCAAAGGTATGAGGGAGACTGAAACAAGCAGAACTCAACAGGGCTTGTGGTCTCAACACTGAGAAATCCTCAGAGTCTCCCACCAGTAGCCATCCTGCTTCCCAAAAGGAAACTTAAAATACAGAGTTTACAGCAACCTCTCCGTATCTGAGCAGTTCCATTCACCTATTTCTCATCAGCAAAGCCAGTCGGGTGTTTTCACCGCCTGGCTTCTCGTTCCTCTGCACTACCTTTCTCTTGGGCAATCAATCACAGCCGTTCGTGCAGCAAAAGGAACCAGTGGAGGCATCCAAGCTATTTTTAACCTCGATCAATCAACAGATAGAGATGACCGCGCAGCTTTAGAGTCGAGTTGGCAGGGATGCCTTAGGCTGGCACTGCTGCCCAGAAGGATGCGTGGAGCAGTGCCCCAGGGCAGCCATAAATGGATTGAATGCGTACCTTTGATAGTTAAACGGATGAGCAGGCCTGGTTTCGCATTGTCCCGACAGCTGCTGAGCAGCACAATTCCACCAACATAACCCGCAGGGGTGCATAGGGGTTGTAGGACAATATAGCAAAAAACAAAAACATGCACACATTCACGAATCCCCACAGTCCCGCATTAGTTACCAGCTGCATTTTCCCCTCCCGCTGCGCAAAATGGTTAGCACTGTCAACACAACCCATTCTTTCAAACAAATGCTAGTGAGGTCATAGGACTGCCTTTTCCACATAGAGCATTTTCATCGAGGTTGTAGGGTTGGTTGCAATCAATAACTGATGCACCTGACACACTCAGTTGTGTGGGGTCAGGCGAGTTGAAGGCAGGAGAAGGGGAAACGTAACCTCACCCAGTTGAAGGCTCCGCTGCTTCACGGCAGGGGGTTGCAGTACACCGACGTGAGCATTTAGGAAGGGGATGCCCCTGCCAGACCACAAAGAACCCTGATGCCGCACTCTCTTACCTGTGGTCTCCCTGGTGGGCAGCAGGAAGGCGGCGAGGGAGCGCCTGCACCTGGTGGTGATGGCCCAGGGACCTGCCTGAGACTGAGGAACGGCCGGTGCTTCCCCAGGCCTCCCCTCCCTCCCCTGCCTCCTTTCTCCACCGAGGTGCCCCTGGAGCCACCCAGCAGCCGGCAGGGCTCGCTCCAGTGGGTGCCTGCTGGGCGGCACACAGCCTGGGCTTACGCTCAGCAGCACAGAATCACGCATTCATCCATCCTTGGAGAAAATGACTCACGTTCAGGCTGGACAGACTACGCAGAAACCTAGCGAGTGCCGCCCCTAGCAGAGTCAAGACGCTGGCAGGGCAGGGAGCCCATTTATAACCCACCCAGACAAAGTTTCTCTGCAGGCTCCATACAGTCACCCGCGTGATCGTCTCGCACCACGCGAGGGGCGATGGCATGGCAAGGCGCTTTCTTTTTAACCCAGAAGAGGAAGCCTGCAAAACAGATGGGGGCAAGCTTGGATCTCCTTGTGCTCGCTGCATGCACCTGGACGGGCACAAGCACGGCCGTGTCCCTCCCCTCCGTACCCCGGGAGCCCCGAGCGCCTGGGAGGGAGGGCACGGGCAAGAAGAAGACCAGCAGTAAGCACCGGAATGAAGATGACACTTTTTCCAGCTAACTGGTGTGTTTGTTGCCGCCTGGCTGGATGACATTTATGTGACATGTGTTTTTCTATCACCAGTTCTCCGCTCCCTTCCCTTTGTAACTTTTAATGGAAAAATGTGTGGGCAGTTTCCATTATGCCTGCACTCTTTCAGACAAATTAAGGGGTTGGCTAAGAAACTGCCGGTTTCATATTTCATACAAAATACACACACACATATATTTATATATCTATGTAAATTAATTTAGGAAATCCTCTCGTCATGCACTTTATAGGAGTACGTTGCCAAGGGCAGTGTCTGCAGGACCAGACCTACGGAAGAGCCCTTCCTTTCGGCCCGCGCCGGGGATGAGGCTCCTTTTGCACTTGCACGGGGCGGAGAAGGGCCGGGAAGCTGAAATGGCAGCAGTCAGTCCTCGGCTCTGCCTTTGACTTTCTGAGTGGCAGGTTTATTCATTTTTCGTTTCCAGCTGCATTGCTAAAGCCACATACGCCTTTTATGACCGTGCTAATTTTCTATCAGTTTAGGGAGTCATAAATTTTTTTCCTTATTTGTTCTCTATCACAAG